GAAGAAATTCCACTTGTTATGGCAAAAGGAAAACTTTGGCTATGCAACTAAAATATCAAATCATTTTTCTTTGAAAAGATTTCAAGGCAAATTGTGAATCTTTTCATGCTTATCTTTCTTTAATTTGATTTTCTTATTATATTTTACTTATGTGTTACACTTTCAGTCATAATTTGAAGGCCTCAACTCCATACTAACAGATGATCACAACTTATCCAAGCTTTCTACATGTACATATCAAATGTTTCATGCTTGACCCCATCAGATATTATATATGTGTATTGAATGCATTTTGATTTTAGAGAAAAGGCAGAGCATTTTATTAAATTGGACCATTCAACCAACCTTCTCTTTCTCTCTCTCAGCCAAACCTCACCTCCAACAGGAAAAGAAAGAAATTAAATGAAATTTTCCACCATTCAACAAAGTTCTCTTCTCATTTAATAGAAGGGAGTCAAACTGAAATGAGTTGATTCACCTACAAGTCTATATACTCCTTTTGGCATTCACTGATATCTCAGGAATGATAGATGATCTTTATGATGTGCTGGTTAAAACAGTAAAATGCTTTGCACCCCTTTACCAACTGGATTATGACCTTTGTTTGGGATTATATTATTCAATAACATCTTTCTGTGTGTATGTGTATATAATAGATATCTTCCCACATCTCGATGTCCACGACACTTATGTCTTTTTTGTGGATGGCTTTAATGTGAAGATGAAGTAACCCTGTTGCTGATAGCCAGTTCCCTGTACAGAAGGACCTTTGAAATCCTCCCATCAGTAGACTGTTGTTTCCGATGTTTTGCCGTTGTGTTGAGGTGACACTGAAGTATCCTCTCCGAGGTGCAGGCCTGAGCAAGGTTTTATGAGAGATTGGTGATTGCCCATGGAGCACATGTCCCCTCTTCACATCACCAAAATTGTCCAAGGGAAAGGTAGAGTCCAAAACAGCTTGGCACCAGCATTGTTGCAGAATAATGTTGAAGGTAATATTGGACTGTCTTAAGGACTCTGGCTCTGAAATTGTCCTCAGAGTTTACTCCTGAAGCCTTTCTCATAATTGGATAAAGCCACAGTATAGTAGAGGTTTAAAATTAAAGTTTTCCTTCATTTATATATATAGGAGAAAAGTGATGTTTCTATTGATGTAACTACACATATCCTTGAAAGAGAGGGGATGCTGAAATTTTAAACTTTTTTTCACCCCAACTAAGGCAATAAAATCACTAAGATGTCAAGGGTTACTGAGGGTGAAAAAGAATGGGAAGTCTTTAGTGAAGAGAAAGGACAATAATAGAACAGGTTTCAGAAAGACAGAATATGGTGATGACTGTTGCATTTAAATATTTGAAGATTGTAGGTGGTATAGAAGTAAAAAACCAGAAGAAGGTGAGAAGCATGAGAAAAGAATCTATTAGACTAGAATTCATGGTTACATTGAGCTATTTTCAAAATTAAAACAAAGAGACATAGTTGCCAGTCTGGTAGTACACTCAAATTCCTGCAGTCAAGGTACCAAAGAAATAAGCTCATTAGAACAATTCCCATGAAATTATTTATAGAAAAGACAGAGGGAAGTCTTGGCAGTATGGAGGTGACTGAAGTTGATATGCCAAGTCAGGACCAATAACATTACAAACCCTTCTTTGGATTTTGGAGAGTCTTGAGATATAATAGCAGGAACAGGAAACCTGATATGGCATCAATATTCAATGTATGGAATAAATGTGAAAGATGAGCAAGCTTGTCTGGCACGATACAGTGAACCAACTTTCCTAACAGCAGACCAAGCAATTGATTCAATAGAATCATTCTGCTTCGTGTCAATGGAAAATATAAGACCAAGAAGGTGCAATGAGTTGCTCTCCTGGAGGTTAGCATCAGCCATGCTGATGGAAGGCAAAAAAGTTTCTTTAAGACAATTAAGAGAGCAGTTCCGTTTTGGAGTTGTTAAAATTTACAAGGCATTTCTTGTCCCATTTAACAAATAATTGGATGTCATTTTCAAGAGAAGCTGCCAGTTTTACAGCTGTATCATCAGCATAAATACCTAGTTGGGAATTGCTGACATTGCGATGGTTGTTGTTGAAGATAAAAAGCAACATAGGTCCAAGGATAGAGCCCTGGGGGACGCCTACTTTAATGTGAAATCATCTAGAAACATGGCTGTTCAATACAATGTTTCATTACATGATTTGTTAAGAACAATTGGGTTAAGTCAAGTATTTGGCCAGGTATACCATAACCCTTGAGCTTTTGAAGAAGGCCAGCATGCCAAAAACTGTTGAATGCCATCAAGATATCTAAAGCCACATCCTGAGCTTTGATCTTATCTTAAGCCTGATAGAAAAATTTGGTACTAATTGTTAATACAATTATTTATCTTAAAAAAGGTTTGTGTAAAGTGGGATGCTTAAGCAATTCAGAATTGATTAGAGCCTCTGGTACTTTGCCAAAAAGCAATAAAAGACTAATAGGACAATAATTCGAGGAATTGGAAGGTTCACCAGTGTTCTTAAAGACAGTAATTACAGAAGAGGATATCCAGAAAGCTAGAAGCAAGAAGTAGTAAAACATTTGTTGTAGACTTTGGAGAGAACAGGAGCCAGTTCAGGAACACATTTCCTTAGGACAATTTCAAGGAATACTGTCAAATTCACAAGCCATGTAGGGATTTAGTTTGGAAATGATAGCAGAAACCATGGATGGAGTTAAGTGCATATCACTCAATAGAGATTCCATTCTAGATAAAAACACTTCTGAAGAGTTGAGAGTGGAGTTGGAAGCATTCTGCTTTATCAGCAATAGTTGACAATATTTCAAACTGAATGAAGAGAGAAGGGATTGAAGATTTACTATAGTTCAATACACACTCTTACAGAGCTGTCAGTAATCTGTAGAACAAAAAATAGCAACTTTGCCTAATTGCTCACACTTATTATGAATGGATACAAAGTGATTTCTTATAACCCAAATTGTCATGTTAGTATAGCTGGATTTCTATAGCAGCTGAACAGGCAGGAATGAACCAAGAACTTTAAATTTAAATTTGTTTTTTTTAGTCCAGTGAAGTCCTAAAGGATGAAACACATTATACAAAAAATCTTTTCCTCTTTGTCATTAATTTTCCTAACATTGTTCTGATTTTATATATATATATATATATATATAAAATCCAGTGAGGTAGAAACTACCTACCTAGGTAGGTAGTTTCTGGCTCACTAGGATTTTTTTATACTCTGCTCTACTTAGTGTATTGAGCACTTTACATCTTTTCTTAATTTACTTGATTGAGGTTTTTGTTGTTTTGGCTAGGCATTGTGGTGTTGGGCGATTTTTTTTTTTTTTTTTTTTTTTTTTACTAGGGATGCTTTTAATCTTTTCTTTTTTTTCAAAAATTTTTTCCCAGATACCAGTTTGTTTAAATATAGTATTTATGCCATGTCTAATGGATGTCCTGTTAATTCCCTCTCCACCGCCTTAACCAGCTATTGAACTCACACACTTGGAGAGGTGAATTTACAGGAGATAACTGATAACTGGCATCCATTAGACATGGCATGTGGAACTAGACCAGTCTACCCCAGTGAGCAAAATAAAGGATTCAGTTCGACATTCCAACCACCTGAAGAAGGCCTGAGCATACAACGGACGAAACGTTGTGATAAATTTGGCAACAAAGATGTCGATAATAGTCCGAATAATGTTAAATAGTGAGGATCTGTCATGTAATCAATCCTGACCAGGCATCTCAACTTCAATCACTTTCTCACTGATATCTTTTCTACAAATATTTTCATAGCAACCACTCTAACTTTTTCCCTGGTGCCCTGAATATATGAATTTAAGCATACCACTAGATTGGCATCTATCTAGATATGGCACATGGAACTAGACCAATCTACCCCTCTTACTGTTAAAATACCTAAATGCAACCACCACTTTTACTCCAACAATTTCTTTACCAGTACTTCCCACCTTTGGAACTCTCTTCCATTTTTTGATAACTACAATCTTCAAAAATTTAAATGCAAAGTCAATCACCATCTTCTATCTTCTTGAGCCCTATTCATCTTTTGTCCTTTCTTTAAACCTCCCTATTCTCAGTCTTCTCTATATTCATGCTAACCAATGTTTATCACTGAAAACATTTTCAGTGGGAATGTGTTAGAATTGAATGTTGTATCAATTGAAGAAAGTCAGATGAATCTCACTTCCTCAAATAAAGTAAACAGTAGTGTGCACTGTTATTCTAAGTAAGTGATGATATCAGGATGAATTATGGGAAAGCAAGAATCCAGTCAAGATAATGTTATAGTATAGGCAACATTCTGCTAGGAAACACTAGGTTTTATCGTTCATGTAGATATGTACTAACAACCTGAAGACCATTACTGCAGACCAGCTAGACTCTTTCATATACCTTTTACAGTTTTGTAACAATGGCAGTGGTATCTTTCAGCATCTTTCAACATAACATAACACAGTTTTATGGGAATGATTTCAAGAACATGAAGAAGACGTTTGTGTTGTCCTGACCACAAAACTCATCAGATCCCACTCCCATTTAGAACATATGGGATGTATTTAACCAATAGGTTTATGCTGCAGAATTTACACCACATAATTTGAAAAAGCTAAAAGATCTGCTGTTAAGACTCTGGTACCAGATCCTGTGGTAAGCCTTTAGAGATCTTGTAGAATCTGACTGGGTAAGAATTGTTTGGTGGGTACATGAAGTATTAACACTTTATTAGGAAGGTGTTTTCATACATCAATGTATATCACTTTCTCTATATGGTTATGTAATGGTCTAAATATAAAATAATCTATTTCAATGTTATGAGATCAAATTTTATGAATTCACCTGAGAAACAAGCCAGTTTTACAAATTTTGATTTGGAGAAAATCTTTTGAATAACAAAATTCCCATCTCTGAAGATGGTAAACCCAAAGAACATTTAATACATTCCACATTGCATTTTTCCTTTCAGAAGATGAACTTACGCAAGACACTTCAAGAATGCAGGATTCTTTTGATGATCATGAAGATGAGTCTGCAATTCTGGTCTTGGATCCAGACCATGTGAGTTTCGTTTATTCTATTGCTTGCATTGATTAATGTTTGGATCGTTCTTTATCTTCATTATTGCTTTTAATAATATTTTGATTGGTCAATTCTTCAGCTTTCTTCAAGGAACGATAATATCCAGCAAAAATTTTATTGTATAGTCTATTCATCAGATACTATATTCCCTGAAATGAAACTGGGGAACTGAACAATAAAACATTCTGATAAAAGAAACAATGACAATCATAAATAACTCTTATCTCCAGTCATTGATGACACTACTTCATCTTAAAAATTTCAGATGAAAATTCCTTGATGTTCACTATACAAGCAACAGATGAAATATTACTGCAAAATTTTGAGTTAATAAATATGTTTTATGCAAAGACACTCTTGTGAAATCACACAAATGGGTCTTAAAATAACATTATTATAGAAAATGTAATCATTGGCAAAAGTTGAAGGATTGATTTCTAAGCCATAATCCTCAACCACTTGGCTGTCATCATTCAGTTGAGCTTACATCTTACACTTTATTTTTTCTTTTGAACAAAGGAGGGATTTTCTCTTGCTTTGTTTTCTTAGAAAAGAATTTCAGTGATGCTTGTGTCATGAAAGTGAAGTGAATAGATTGTGAGTTTAGCAAAGAAAAATAATTCTTTTTCTTTAGTAGGAACATTTCAACAAAAATTCCCAAATAATTCTTTTACCTCATTTATTCTTTTAGAACACCCAAGATATATAATATACAATATATAAATAAGTATACCAGTTTGCATTGAATCATTTTAGATTTCCAATGATTTTGTTAGTGTTAAGGATGTTTTACTTGAATCATTGCTGCACACATTCATGAATTTGATTGAATGAAACTACAATTGTGGATAATTATCTGTGATAATTAGATTTTATAATTGAAATAAATGATATCAAATGGAATAAATGTTATCAGCCCAATTGTAGAAAGAACAAAAAAGCATAGATTAAGCAAATTGCTAAGAGATTTTGTAGTGAAAAGTTTCCCATTGATGATGGCTTACTGCCAGAATTACCTTTCCTTCCTAAACAATAAAATATTGATATCCTGGTCGGAGGTTATTTAAATAAACTGAAGCATCAAATATCTTTCAAAAGTAAAATATAAATACAGTGTAGGTGTGCTGATATTCTTAAGAGAATAAAATATTCCATCTTTGTATCTGATTCATGGTGGAAAAGGTGAACATGGTTCTAGATAGATTTGTACGTCTTCTCACAAAAGTATTGGAATTCGCATTCATCTCTTTGCAGCCGAAAATGGTGCAGTTCCAAGCAGCTGTCAAGAATTACCTGTTGAAAATGAAAGAGAAACATGAAATGTCCATTCGAGAAGTAGTAAGTGAATTGTGAACTCCATCTTCATCCTGGTTAACACAACACCTGTATTCACCTTTCTCTCATCTCCTATCTCTACCCCCACCCCTTTACCAATTCAGTCTTCAATCTGGTGGTTTTGCTAATTTTTCTTTGTTTCATAAAGAACTCTATTCAAAAACTTTCAACTCAGGATCTTTTGTTGAACAAGTGTGTCCTTTTGTAGCTTTTTGCCAAATCAGGTTAGTCAAAATTAAAAACTGAATATTTTTAATTTTAAACTACTCATATTATTCTGCTTTGAATATTTAAATATTGTCAGGTTCTTAATGAGCTGAAACATAGTAAAAATTTGAAATTTATTTGGAATCTATGATTGGCATTTATTATTTAGTGTATAAATTGATGTGAAGTTGAAGTTTAACACTAGTCAGTCGCTAAGCTTGTCTTCGTCCCACGTTATTCTCAGTGATGAGTTATATAGGCTTTCTCTTGCACTTATTCAAATTAGGAATATTAATTTGCCAGTGTCACTACATCTCCCTGAAACGTATAGGTTTTAACCTCTAGTAGTTCTTGTACTTCTTCTCATGATAGTTTCATTACTTTGTTCTACTTCTCTCTCTCTCTCTCTCCCATATTTCTTTTTCTGGGAGACCTAGATCTCTCCTGCGCTAAGCTGTAATTATAGGCATCTTCTTGCATTATTTGATCTTCGTCCGAACTTTCAAACTTGTTCTGGCCCACTTGATACTGCATTATTTTGTCTTCTGATGTTTCATTCTGTAACGGTTGTTCTAATAAATCATTAATGGATGGATTCGTAGACATTTCTTCATCATTTTGCTCTTCGTATTCACCCTGGGTCCTTATTTGATCTGCATGGGCTAATACACTGTTGCCATTTTCTCTATTTATTATAGCTGTATTGTGGCCTTTTTGCATGATAAATTCTGCCCTTTCTGGATTTGCTTCTTTGTTCTTTTTGTACCACATTTTTTCATTTGTGGAATACGACATGATTAGCAGAACTCTAATTTGTCTTCCCATTAAAGTTGATGGGCTTTCTAGTCTTCCAGCAAGTGGTATTGTGTGATAGCTTAAAAGCAGCCTCGGTAGAAAAACTTCTACTTTTTCTTTTTGCTGAGAGCATGCTTTTAGTCCCGTTTTTACAGTCTGCACCATTCTTTCCACTAACCCATTTGACTGAGGGTGATATGGGGGTGTCTTATACTGTTTACATCCTATTTTTTTCTACCCATAAATTAAGATCTTCACAAAATTCTGGTGCGTTGTCAGATACCAATGTTTTTGGTATGCCGTTTCTGGAAAATATGACCCTTAGAATCTGTTTTATCATAGAACTCTTCTTGTCTGGCACCCAGATTATTTCAGGCCAGCCTGAAAAAGAGTCTACTAGAATTAATAAGAGTCCCACTCCAGTAATATACGCATGATCCATATGCATCCGACTCCATGGCTCCACTTCTGCGGGACACAAATGTAAAGTAGTCTGTGTAAAGTTTCTTAATTCTTTACATTTTTTGCACCTTTTTATATATTCTTCGACATCATATCACGGCCACCATGCTTCTAATTTTATCCTTTTTTGTGTGGCCGCTACTCCACAGTGTATATCATCATGTACACTTTTTATTACCAATTTTCTTTGTGTTTCTGGGGAAACTACCAGATCCCCATTACAAATCACTCCATGTTCTATCATTAATTTCTGTATTATTTCTTTGTAGGGTCTTTCCGCCCTAGAACAATTTCCTCATGAGTTTTTTCTTATTATCGATATTATCCTACTTAGTACTGGATCATGTCTAGTTTCCACAGCCATTCTATCTAAAGACAAAACATCAGTCTCTACTCAATGTAAGAATGCATCTTCAAATTCTTCTTCTGTTTTATCTTTTGACTCCTTGTAAAATCACAATCTTGATAGTGCATCTACATGTGGAATTGAATTTCCTTTGACATATTCTATATCAAAGTCAAATGCCATTAATCTCATTGCCCATCTTAGTATCCTCGATGTCGTGACTTTGGGTAATTCTTTCCTTGGGTTAAATATAAACTCTAATGGTCTATGATCACTTCTTAACAGAAATTTTTTCCCAATTAAAAATTGTTGGTCTCTAGTAGTTGTCCACACAATAGCCAATGCTTTCTCTATATTTGAATAATTAAGTTCAGTGTTCATTAGTCTTCTTGATAAATACATTATCGGATGTCCTTCTTGTGATAATATTCCCAATATCGAATGTTCACTTGCATCTGTGATTAACGTAATGTCCATTTTTGGATCAAACATTTTCACTACTGGTTTCTTTGCCATAATTACTTTTAATCTATCAAAAGCTTTTCGTTGTTCCTCTGACCAAATAAATTCAACATTCTTTTTTCTTAAATTTGCAAATGGTTCAGTCAAGTCCATGTATTTTGGTAAATATCGCCTGTAAAAATTCACCAATCCCAAAAAAGACTCCAGTTCTTTTTTATTTGTAGGTGTAGCTACTTTTAGTATTTTTTCTATCAAGGCTTCGTCTGGTGATATACCTTCTTTTGAAATGGAATAACCTAAAAAAGATATTTTACTATAATTGTTTACGCATTTTTTCTCATTTATTGTCATTCCAGCATTTCTTAATCTATTCAAGATTATGTCGGTTTTCTTTTTTAATTCATTTTCATTAGTAGCTCCTATGCATATATCGTCTTGGTAACAAATCATATTTTTCATATTTTCTTAAACCTGTTCAATGGCCCTTTGAAATATGGCGCTTGTGGTTTTTATTCCATATGGCATCCTTTTCCATCTTAGTAATCCTATTGGTGTATTTATCATGGTTACTTCTTTGAAGTTATCGTCTATTGGTATTTGGTGGTATGCCATTTTTAAATCTATTTTTGTAAAAATGCTCATTCCAGCCAGTGCATGTAATGCAACCTCAACATTCGGTATAGGATATGAATCCAAACAAACTTTGTGATTTATGCCTATTTTGTAAACTCCATAAATACGTAAATCACCATCTGTCTTCCTCAAAACTACAATGGGTGATGCCCACTTGCTACCCCCAGGGGGAACATGTTCAAGAAGGTCTTGTTCTATTAATTTTCATAGTTTTGTTACTACTAATGGCAACAAATGTACTGGTAATTTTCGTGCCTCATAATAAGAGGGGGAGACATTTTCTTTTAATTTTAAACTCACTTTATAGTTTTTTAACTTTCTGTTTTTTTCCATTTTTATCTCATTAATTAATTTGGTAGAATTTATGTTAAGCACGCTGTTTCCAAGAAGTCTGTGGTTCTTTTTACAACTTGTGATAATTATAGGTATTACTTCAAATTTATCTTCTAATTCCAAGGAACCTTCAAAGTATCCTAAAGTTTTTATGACCGACCCATCAAATTGGCGGAGTTGTAAACTGCTCTTTCGTAAAGGTGGCTTTCCAATGCGTTCCCAAATATTTATTGGTATCAGCGTTACTTCACGCCCAGTATCAATTTGCATATCTAAATTGCAGTTGTTAATTTTAACCTTTAGTATAATGTCTTTTTTCTTTTGTTCAATTTTTTCTATATTCTTATTTTTTAATGTGAAGACTTCCATATTGGTTTTGTTTTCTTCAACTTTTTCAATGTTTTTCTTTTTGAATTTGTATACTGCTTGAAAGTGGTTCTTTTTTAAGCAATTTGTACAGGTTTTTCCAAATGCTGGGCATTTTTCTCTTTTTATTTTGTGTTCACGTCCACAATACGAACATTTTCTTATCTTTTTTAACAAGTACGTATCAGCAAATATTTGTTCGCTGGGTTGACTTTTATGATGGTTGTATTTCTGTATTAATTCTTGTTGCTGTATAAAGTCAATGCATGTATTTAAAGACATATTTCCTATTTGTAGTTGTTCCATTATTTTATATTGGTGTGATGCATTGCACATACCTTCAATTAACCTTAATTGAATCAAGTCCTCTTCAATAGTCTGTTCGTCTTGTCCAAGTTTTTCAAATTTGCAATATCTACTCGCATTTTGTAGACAGTGTAGATATTTTATAATTGGTTTGTCAATTTCTTGTTTCGTCAACATGAACTTCGTTCTCTGTGCCACTACCAGCCTTTTCTTGGGTTTCATATTTCTCCTTATAATCTGACTTATTTTTTCGAAATTTAAGGGATATGCCATGGTGGAGACTTTCATTATCGCCTCGCATCCAGCTGTAGCCAAAAATAAATCCGTAATTTCATTTTTGCCTCCCTTCTCCTTGTTGTCTTTCAGCTTTTTACTTCTTGCACTGTCAGAAAAACAGCGAATCCATGCATCCACAAAATTTGAATCTTCTAGAGACAAATGGGATCCTATAGGCGACGCCATTGATGTGAAGTCGAAGTTTACAACTAGTCAGTCACTAAGCTTGTCTTCGTCCCATGTTATTCTCAGTGACGAGTTATCTAGGTTTTCTCTTGCACTTATGCAAATTAGGCATATTAATTTGCCAGTGTCACTACATAAATATAATATCTGATAATAATTTAAAAGATTCGTTGGATGTTCTGATCCTGATGAGAGGTGTTACTTTTAAATGGGTCACTTTTTTGTTTTTCCATTTTGTTGGTTCAGAAAATAATTTTATTAAAATTAAGTTTTTAGAATTTATTTTTTAGAAATTCATTGGCAACAAATATTTGTTGTTGTTAAGTAAGTGAGTGGTTGATAATGTTCATTGAACAATCAGTATTTTTGGGGGGAGTGGGTGGGGAGTTCTTTTTTATTGAATATTGGATTTTTGTGGAAAGATAGTAGACAGTTGGGGTTCCTTATTGAATTGTTTTTGGGAGGGTGGAATGGATGGTAGGGCCTTCACTTTTGTTGAATATTTGATTTTAGGATCATAGACAATGTGATTTTTTTTATCTCATTTTCAGGAATTTTCATCTGCAAGTCCTTATCATCTGTCCCCAATAAAAAGACTGTATTCTCTTTTGCTTGTCTATTAAACCTTTTTCTTGTTATTTACTTCTAGGACAAACCCCTGAAAATGAAAACACAAGAGAAAGAGAGCCTTGGAGTTGATCTTTATGGGGTGCAGCAAGAATTGGCTCGGCAGCAGATGTTGTTAGAAGCAGCACAGGACAAATATATCAAACTGAGCAATGAAAGAATGAAAAATGAGGCCGAACTTGATATGAAAAAGAATAATTTCACCAAATTATTTTCAGAATATAACAAATGCAAAAAGCAAGGTAAAAAGCTTTAACTTTCAAAGTAGTCATAGCCACAGAAAATTATCAAAAATGTCAAGATTAAAAATTTGTTGATTAAAGGTATTTTTACTGTTTGTCTTTAGCCTGACTTCATTAGTTCTTTTTTATCCTGAGAATTCAGTCATTTAATGTCTTTTTTAGGCAGAGTTTATAGTTTTGGGATTGGTTGTTGGCTGATGTTCTTTTCTTTATTTTCCATGATATTTTTGGTGTGATTTGTTTTTTTCTTTTTAATCTCTCAGATGTGTTTAGAAAACTTTGTGCTGTTTGTTGTAGAGTGGTTTCACAGTGGAGGCTTGTATTTATACGGTCGGTCCTAAAATAGGTTCGACGTACAAAACGTTAGGAACTTGATATAATAGGTAATGATGCAGAGAAATCTAGTGGTGGTCGCTGATACTTTAGTATCCGACTAACGGTTGTCCGACATCGACTGACTGACCAACTCACTGAGCGACTCCTACTACTCCTACTTATTATAGGTGGGAGAGTCTATTAACTATAGAATAGGTGTGTTCCACTATAACACTGTTTGTGTATTTACTATCTGTAAAGGATGTTTTGCATGCATGTTTCTTTGTTTTCAGTGTCTGTCAGTTATTCCTATGTATATTTTTTCTTTGTTATCTGCTGATTTTTACAGTGGCTCACAATATTAAATTGTTCTGCAAGCAATTGCCGTTTAAAGGACATTCATTCTTTATTCTGCAGTTACACGTGTGTTTTATTTGTTCAGGTAGTGTGTTGATCTTCCTGTTTTGCTTTAATAATTGTATTTTATTATTTGTGTCATCTTAACAGTGCAGCTGTAGCTGATTTTTACTGTGTTTTTGTTGAATATCTTGTGGAGAGTGCTTGATGCAGGGAAATGTTTGTGTATGAGTTTAATGAATATTTTTTCTATGTTTGTTTTTATGTTTTTGTTGTTCAGTGGGTTGAACCAGATGATGTTTCTCTTCCTGTTGGCTTTTTTTGTGCTGTGTGGTTTGTATGTGAGTGTTGCTAAGAATCCACTATCTTTTAGGGCTGTTTCATAGTCTTTCTTAGCTTTGTTGAATATGCTTTTATTGGAAGAATTGTCGGAAAGCCTGTGGTTAATTGGTTGTGATATCTGCTTGTTTATTGATGTTGGGTGTTTAGAATATGTGTGTATATACAGTGGCTTATCACTGGGTTTTCTGTATGTTTTATATGTACCTTTTCTTAGGTTGAAGGTGACATCTAGAAAATTGTTATGGTCCGGTTCCTTGTACCACGGTGATAATCCAAGGTAGAACCAATAAAGAAGAACTCGAACACGTATATGGAATAACACTGATATATTACAAACAGGAATATATACAGAGAGGTAGAAAGGGTTAGTACGAACAATCAGGTTTAGTAGTAATTGTCTGAACGCGACTCTGTTTCGAACTGCCCTTGACTTGACTGACTGACTCACTCGCTCTGACTGACTGACTGACAGACTCCTGACGGACTTCACTCCAGACTTCAGACTGAACTCCATGCTTCCTCTTGAGGCGCAGTATTTATTATGTATGGAATAGTCCATTATGTTATTATGGGTAAGGTCCCATAACAAAAATCTACTTCATTTAGGTTAGTTTTTATGTCTCTGTCAAATATATATATATATATATATATATATATATATATATAAGTGAACATTGAAGTCAACACTCAGAGGCGACAGATTGTTTCATGCTAAACACAATCATCCGGCCTGATGATCATATTTAGCATGAAACAGTCTGTCACCTATGAGTGTTGATTCAATATTCACTTTTATATTTTCATATGCTCTTTCTCTGATATTGAGCAGTTTATCCCAGAAATACAGCATACCTTAAAACTATATTTCTTCATTCATATATATATATATATATCCAAGTAAAATGAGAACAAATGAAGTATAATTTTATTGTCTATAACATTTAATTTAAAAGAGAGTTCAATACAGAGTAGAGCTAAATATTTTAGGATATTAAAACAAAAACGTTAAAAATCACTACACAATGGTAATTATGTTTTAACACTACAAATGTGTCTCCTCAGATAATGGTAAACTACTGGTGAGGGAACAATTAATTTAATTTCAAAAACAGAATACTTCCTCTTTAATCAAGAAAAAAAACAGAATTAAAAATAGGCTTGTCAGCTTTACCATGATTAACCAATCAAATGTGACCTATGCTAAATTCAAATGCATCGAAAAATTTTTTTGTTATATAGGTCATGACACAAAGTTGTCTGCATATAAATTCTAGAGAATTTCATTATGGACAGATACAAGTGGTTACATTATTTTTTAAGGTGTATAAAAGTCTGGTATTCAACTTTCTTAAGTAAAAGCAAAAGAGGTAGGGAGGTAATTTAACATAATGCTAACTAGTTATATGCTCAGTCAGCTTCCTACATAAAATTTTGTAGTTGATAAAATTTTGTAGTTGATAGGCCCCTTTAAAAAACTGGTAAATTACTTAACATTTTGAAAAAAAACAAAAAAACATCATAAATACAAAACTACTTTGGAAAATTAATAGGAAATTTTCTTTCCTAGGAAAGTTGAAGGCTAAAGTCACATTCAATTGGTTAATCATGATAAAGCCTACATGCCTATTTTTAATTCTTTTTTTTTCTCAAAAAAAGAGGAAGTATTCTGTTTTTAAAATTAAATTAATTGTTCAATCACCAGTAGTTTAGCATTGCCCGAGGAGACAGATTTGTTGTGTTGAAACATAATTGCAATTGTGTAGCGATTTTTAACATGTTTTTGTTTTAATATCCTAGAATAAATAATATTTAGCTCTACTCTGTATTGAACCCTCTTTTAAATTAAATGTTATGGACAATGAAATTATACTTCATTTGTTCTCATTTTACTAGGATATATATATATATATATATATATATATTGTTATGAGGCCCTATTTTGTCCTACTTCTTTACGCTTGTACTATAAAATACAAAATATAACTTAAAATGATGACTTAAATCTGTAGCTACTAGATGCCTTTTTACCATATGAAAAGCTCCCACTCACCAAACCCTTTAGAAATCTCTAGAAACTTCTACTGGGTTTTAGAGGGTACAAAAACATATATAAACAGGAGTTCATACCAACTAGCCAGTTGCCTCTTGAACCCACAGCCACAACTATTGAGGTCAACTCCGGTCCTTTTCATCGAAGAACAAAGCTTCGACCAAAGGAATCTAAGTTCCTACAGTCCTCGAAAAGAAGAGACTATAAGTAAATACTTCACTTTTTTTCTTGATATTATTGACCAAACTCTTTTATTTTATATATATGTGAATTACTCAAACTATTTTAAGAATAAAATAATATAATTCTTTGACTTGTGACAAATTCTCATTCGTCGCCTTAATCTTAGCAACAGTGGATTTCCTCTCCCGCTCCCTTGTATAGTTTACATGTTAAGCCACCTACTTTCTGGGCTCTTGCACACTTAATAATTTGTTAGCATTTCCTAACTTATATTGTTTAAACCTCATCTCTATTGTTCTAAAATATATTTTATGTAAAATAAAATCCACTTTTCGTTATTGGATGTAATCTCTTTTCTTCAACCTTCATTTCTATGAATCTGGTTCTTCTCATTTTGTGTTGTGCCAGCTGTAACAATATATATATATATATATATGTAAGCAAATATATGGATATAGATCCGACAGTATGAAGAAAAATATACTGTAAAAACAAACAAAAATCCTAATATGCGATTATGCTGTTTTAATGTTTAATGTCAACGTCAGACGTTTCAGTCTAATAGACCATCTTCAGGACATATTCATAAAACATAATTATAAATATGTCCTGAAGATGGCCTATTAGACCCGAACGTCTGACGTTGACATTAAACATTAAAACAGCATAATTGCATATTAGGATTTTTTGTTTGTTTTTTCAGTATATTTTTCTTCATATATATATATATATATATATATATATATATATATATATATATATATATTTTTTATATGAATGAAGAAATATAGTTTTAAGGTATGCTATATTTCTGGGATAAAGTGCTCAATATCAAAGATAGAGCATATATAAATATAAAAGTGAATATTGAATTAACACTCAAAGGTGACAGGCTGTTTCATGCTATATATATATGTTATGATGTTGATTTGGGGTTAGTAGAGACAAACACCAAATAACACGTAACAATAAAAGGGGTTTTAATAGGTTGGTAAAAAGGTACAGAAATCGCCTGATTAGTCAATAACTAGCTCAGCTAAGAACTTCTCTGTCTATCTGTCTTCCCCATGTCAACTGACATGCCACTATTTAAAGTCTTTGTTCACAGACGCAAACAAGTTCATCTTCAAGAGGGGTGGTAGGTTTCCGACACAACAACTCCCCCTTGAGATTAATTCCGGAGGAATTAATATCTTTTTCTTTTGGGATCTGGATTTAAACGTTCCACCCTAGTTCTTTTTCTTTTGCTTGTCCTTCTTTGGACAACTGTTTCAGGCAATGGTGGAGTTGGTATATCGAATAAATCATATAATACCTCCATTGGTTCTTCATTTTCTTTACTTATTTCTTCAATGATTCTTTTCCTTAATTGGTTCAAATGTCTTTTGTGCATCCATTTTTTACTTCTTATCATTTATAACATCTTACCAATTCTTTGAGTTACCACTCCATCTTGCCAAAATTCCTTCCCATTTTATAATTTTTAAAAAAACTTTATCTCCCCGCCTGAGATATTTCATATTTTCCTGATGCGTTTTGTTCTGGTAACTCTTTTTTTTCTTTCCGACAGCAGCCTATTGAATACAGATCTAATTTTTTCTAGCAAACATCAGTTCAGCTGGAGGCATCCCTGATATTGCATTTGGATTTGGTGTTATTCTGTATATACTTAAAACTGCTGTATATTACCATCATCTGTATTAGTACCATTTGTTTTTTTAAGGGCTCTCTTGAACGTATCAACAAACCGTTCAGCCTGTCCATTTGACCTAGGATGGTACGGTGAAGTCGTGATGTGGTCAATTCCCAGAGTCTTACAAAACGTCTTAAATTCACTTCCTGTGAATTGAGTTCCATTATCAATGACAATTTTTCTGGTACTCAAAATGTGCAAACAGTTCTGTAAGAAAATCTTTTGTTACAGAAGCAGTTGGTCTTTTGCACTTAAAAATTTCAAGCCACTTGGAATAGCTATCCACAACTATCAAGTAGAAATTACCATTCATGGGTCCAGCATAATCTATGTGGAGTCTGGTACATGGAACATCTGTTTTTGACCATGGTGTGTATTTTACTGGCGGTGCTTTCGCTGCCATTTGACACCCTCTACAAGTTTTAAGTACCTGTTCAATGTCTTTGTCCATATTTGGCCAATAAATGTAACTCCTCATCAGGGCTTTCATACGTCCAATACCAGGATGCCCCTGATGAAATTCCTTCAAAATCCACTTTTGTAGTACAACCGGTATCACGACCCTTCCAGCATATAACAGCACTTCATCACATATTGAATATGCTGGTGAAGAAGTTTTATACTTTTCTGAAGTTACAACTTCTTTCATTTTTCTAATAAAAATGTCGTTTTCTGCTTTTAATTTTATTTCATCTAATGTCACCGGTAATTCTTTTACTGTGTTATACATTACTTCAACCAATTCATTTTCTGCTTGTAACAACACTATCACCGTATCTTCTAGCAGTTCCGAAGACGTTGGGATCAGTCTAGATAAACCATCAGCATGGCTTAATTTTTTAGATGATAAAAATTCCATTTTGAAATTGTAATTCAACAAAATGGTTCCCCATCGTTGCAAACGGTTTGCCGTATGAGTAGGTATACCCTTCTTCGAACCATAGATTGAAAGCAGGGGGCGATGGTCGGTCTGCAATATAAACCTTCTTCCATGTATGTACTTATGGAATTTTTTACAAGCATAGATGATAGCTAAGCTTTCTTTCTCAATTTGAGAGTACTTTTTTTCTGCGGGTAATAATGTCCTTGATGCATGTGCCACTGGCTTCGTATTGCCATCTCTAAATTTATGCAGAATTACCGCACCTATTCTGTACCCACTTGCATCTGATACCACTATAATTTCCTGTTTAGGGTCATAATGTGTTAGTGATAATTCTGACGTCAAAATATTCTTTATTTTGTCAAACACCTTCTGACACACTTCTGACCATTCCCACTTTGCTCCCTTTTTAAGCAATTTATTTAATGGAGCCATAAGGCTGCACAAATTAGGAATATATATCCCATAATAGTTAGCAAGTCCTAAGAACGCTTGTAGTGTTACTACATTTTTGGGAGTTGGCATGCTTTTGATCGCTTCTGCCCTCGCCAGATTTGGTCTTCTTCCATTATCTGCCCCAAAAACTTAATTTCACTCATAAAAAATTCACATTTTTCAGCTCCAAGTTTGAATCCATATTCTTCAATTTTTTCAAAAACCTGATTAATATGTTCCAAATGTTCATTTCGATCTTTACTTTTTATCAAAATATCATCAAGATATGCAATGGCGAAGTCCAACCCTGCCAGCACAGTGTCCATAATTTGCTGAAAAATACTAGGGGATACTTTTAAACCAAAAGGCAGACGGTTTAATTTGTATAAACCCTTGTGTGTATTGATAGTCAACAATTTAAAACATTCTTTGTCCGCTTTCACTTGGAGATAGGCATCTGATAAATCCAATTTAGAGAATATTTTTTCTCCATTTAAACTTGCAAAAATGTCTTCTGGTGAAGGCAAAGGATATGTGGGGTCTTTTAAGCAATCATTTAGACCCGTAGAGAAATCAGCACACATCCGAATTTTATTATTCTTTTTCTTAACATATACAACAGGGCAGGCCCACTCTGAAAATTCAATGCGTGAAATAACTCCTAAATTTTCAAGCCGTTCCAATTCTTTGTTAATCTGTTCCAAAACACCAAATGGCACATTTCTTTTTCGCTTGAAAATAGGTTTTACATTTTCCTTCACTTCAAATTTTGCCTTCATCTTTTTGCAACATCCAAGACCTTCTGAAAATACTTGTGGAAATTTTATTTTCAGATCTTTCACCAAATTTTCTGTAACTCGATTTTTACATGGAGAAGAAACATTAATTCTATTTCAAAAAGAATTTATAGGGAGTTCCCATAAATTCAAAAGTATAATCCAATCTGTTCCAAACAAATTTGAAGCATTTTGTAGCACATACACTTTAGACTTTAATGTCTTACCAACAAATGAAATATTACAAGAAAATTCACCTTGGTCGAATAGCATGGACACGGGATACGGCTTTTTCTTCAATTTGCGTATTGTCATGTTTTAAGTTTTCAATTCTTTGACACTCTTCCGTAACCTTCTGCAAAGTGATCTCGGAAATTTGTTCGAGTTTTGCCAATATTCAGGACCTTATGTCCTTATCTTTGCTAGAAGTCAAGCCTTGAACGTATATCAAACATTTAAATCGATCAATTGAAAGATCATGTAACATAAAACGTTCACACATTCTGTTAACATTTCCAGCATACATAACAACATCCTCATCGTCACGCTTTACCATATTCAAACACGAGAAACGAGTATGAAACAAACTAACTCACTCGCCAAAAATACTAGATAAAGTATTAACAGTTTCTTCGAAAGAAATGTCACCAGTTTTTCTTGGAAGGACAAAATTCGTATACTTATTATTTTCACCTGTACCCAACTTTTGTAAAAGTAAACTCACTTTTTGTTCATCAGTCCAACCTTCACATTTTTTTTCAAATATTGTTTCAAATCTTCTGAAATACACAGGAAATGTTATGCCCTCCTCTGGGTTAAATTTGAACTCAGTAATAGAATTAGCAATACCTTTGGCCATGAATGACGAATTTACTGGATTCTTAAGTAAAATCACTTCATATAAAGCCTTTGTGTCATTTCGCTGCTGAACTTGTAAATCCGATAGTTGTTCCCGAAACAATTTTTGTTGCTCTTGTTGCTGAATTTGACTTTGCACTAGAGTTTTCGTTAATGCAATCAAATCTTCCATTATGCGTAATAGATTACACAAAACACTTTTCGAAAACAGACAAAAAGGGAAAAACACGTATATATCCACAATAAGCACAAGTCTTACTTCTTTTTGGCACGTTGAAATCCCATTTCTTCGTGAAGAACAAAGTTCGACGTATTTTGGTTTTTTTTTTTTTTTTTCAGAGTGAGAAAAAAAAAATTTATATAGTCCACCTAGAGTTGAAAAATTCTCCACTCAGCATGATGAATGAATCTCTCGTCGCCACTACTATGATGTTGATTCGGGGTTAGTAGAGACAAACGCCAAATAACACATAACAACAAAAAAGGTTTTAATAGGTTGGTAAAAAGGTACAGAAATCGCCTGAGTAGTCAATAACTAGCTCAGCTAAGAACTTCTCTGTCTATCTGTCTTTTCCCCATGTCAACTGACATGCCACTATTTAAAGTCTTTGTTCACAGACGCAGACAAGTTCATCTTCAAGAGGGGTGGTAGGTTTCTGACACAACAATATATACACACTTTCAGGAAATGTACTGTCTCTGCAAATTTGAGACTACCTGAAACCTACTACAGGCAAAATATGTCTGCATCTGAGAAAAAATGTTTCACTTCTCATTATTTTTACTTCCGATTCATTGCATTTCTTTGTTTGTACTTTCTTTCATCTGAACATTCTCTGTCAAAATGCCCACTGACAAAGAATTCAATATTTTGTTTTTTATAATCTTTTTAATCTTGTTTTTTATCTTATGAATTTCTTGAAGACATTCATCTTTCGATGCAACTTTACATCTTCAAACCATCATAAAAGAACTCTATTTTACACACATTTGAACATATTTTGGTATATGTCAAATGTCATTTCAGATTGCTTTCTTATTGTGGCTGGACATTTGAATAATGAAGACATCAAGTTGCAAATTATAAATACAAGATCAATTCTGTAAACCTTAATTTATTCTCTCTCTCTCTTAACTCTGTCCTAACGTTGAGATATCAAATTGTTGTAAAACAAGTTGATTAAAACTTTTAATGTGTTTTTATTTTTCTCAGTGGCTCAGCTGCAAAATGAAATTGAAAATTTGGGGCTTCGTAGATTTTACATGAGGGACACCAAAGATGATTTAGGAGGGGACATCAAACTTTTGAAAAGAGCGGCAGATAAAGCAGAAAATGATGTCTTGCAAGCACAAGTGGAGAAGAAGAAACAGGTATTTCATCTTTTTATGGTTTAATTTGAAATATTTGAAAGATTCTTGAGAATGTTAATATATATTTATCTTTCTTCAAAGGTAAATTCCTGTTTTGAATTTTTTTGATTCACTCTTTCAATTGTAAATCAGCATTTACATTTCAGCTGATTTACTTGCTTTTCTACAAGTTAGAATCATTCTTTTTCACATTGAAGGCAATTAGATATTATTATGTTTTGCATTCAAACTATTTTAATTTAATTAGAAATCAACAATTAACACACACCCACACACACACACACATGCATATCTTTGTGGAGTGGGGGAAACAGTTTTTACTCCCAGCCTTTTTATTTATTATTTTTAAATCAATTTTATTTAAGATTTCATTCCCTTCAGTCAAAGATAAGCTTTAATATATTTAATTTGGTGAAAGTATTTTTTATTTGATTGACAAAAAATCATTGAAATGATTGCAGAATAAAACTCCTTGAAAATGAATGAATGAAGAATAAGTAAATCTTTTAAATTGTCTTTAATATTATTGCAGGATTTGTTTGTTGATCGTCTTGTGGAAAAAGTTGAGAAGCTTCAAGATGATATCGCCATGTTCAATGCTCAATACAAATTGCAAGTGTTGGAAACAAAAAATGCCAAGAATCTTTTGCATGAAGCAGAACTTCAGTTGATGGTAAGAAATATTCTTCCAAAACTTGGTGAATTTAACCTGGGATTGTGAATTTGACAGATAATCTCACTGTTCAAAGTTTCATTTTAGATAGCATATTGTATAGTATTATCATCATCAGCAGCAATTGCAAGTTCCTCTGCTGGTCAAATACTTCTTCCAACTGACAACCATAACTTTCCCTATTTTCTGCAGTGTGTTATCAGCAGACTCGTCTATCTCATTTTGCCATCTGTCTGATCATTCTAATGTTTTTTTAATCCACTGAGCATCATTCAACCAATATTTTGTTCTGTCTATTACCCTCTCTTTTTGCTGTGTCCCATCTACCTTTTGGTTTTAATCATTTATGTTGAGCTCTTTCTATCTCTTAGGGTTTTCCTTAACATTTATCTTTCCATTAAGCTTTGTGTCTTTCTGAATTTGTTAATTTCCTTGTTTTACACCTGTACTTTGATGTTATACATTCATTATACACTTTACTTTTCAGCATATTGTTAAGATGCTTTCCCTAATATTTCTATTTTCACCTGATAATTATACATTTAATTTTCATGATTTTCTTTGATTTTATCATTTAATCTAAATAGATGTATTCCTGGACCTCTTCTAGGTCTTCATCCTAGTATCATTTTCAAGATGTTACAATTGAAAATGACATTTGTTTTATTTCTCTTCATCTTCAAACCTACAATGAGACTTTCTCCATTCAGATCATTTAGCAATTCTTGTAATTCATCCAATGATCCACATATTAATAAACTATTGTCAGTAAATCATACACAGTTCAAATTGTCTCTGTCTGTATTGATTTTATTCATTCCTAGTTAATTTTCCTGAAGATATTTTCAAGGCATAGAGTAAGTATTTTAGATAAGATTGTATCCCTTTGTCTCACTCCTTTTCCTACTCTGTACTCATAAAATTTGAAAAAATGTTCTAAATTGAATACCTTTTCAGAGTCAACAAAAGTTGGATAAAAAAGTTTCTTATATTAAGTTATTTGTTTCAATCAGTCTATTGTTTTGTAAACATTGCTGAAAACTGTCACTGCTACTTGTAAACTTATATAAATGTGAATTAAATATATATAATAATATAGACATGTATATTGCAACATTTTGTGTAATGTCACTGAGTCAAAAAATGCAAATTTATATATTTATTAAAATATGTATGTCTGGTGTGATTCTTTCCTATGCCAAAAAAAGTAAAAATGTGTTGCATTTTCATGATCTTTGTTCCTTTTTATCATGTTTCTATGTAAATAGGTTGGAACAGAATGTGACTGTGAATATGACATAAAAATATTTTTTCATCTCGGATCCACCGACATTGTTATTTTCTCTTCAATTACATGATTACATTGAGCTGGAGTCTCTGAGTTGTCCAGATTGACTAGTGTCACTATCACAGAATGAAACCTTCAGAGGCATACGGCATGAATAACAATTCTTGCAAAACACATTTGAGAAGTCTATGGTTGGCTCTTCATGCTGTTCTTTAATTTGTATTTTTTTATTGTGCATTGTCAGAGAAAATTTTCCTCAAATTGATTGCTGAGAACTTGTTCTCTTGTTCAGATAGGTGCAAAGTTTCTTTCTTTGTCATTAATTTTTATTTATGTTGATTTATTTCTTCTTTGCCAATGGTTTTTCCTCAGTCAGAATTAATCAGTTTTTCTTTCTGTTGAAAACATCTGATTTTTCGTTAGAGACTTCCACTGCCTCTTGTCCATTTGTATTCATTTCTTAATATTTATCTATTATCTGCTAAGTGACTTGATGTTGTTCAAATGTTTTGCAAGTATAAATAATTAATTTTATTCAAGTTACTTTTTTTTAATTATTTTTGTCATTTGCTTTGATCAGCAAACTTTGAACTTGTATAATTTTGCAAAAAAGGTGCTAAATGTTAAGTTCAATTGACACTGCAGTTTCTTGTAAAGAAACTTACAAGTGTATGGAGTCAAAAGTGACAGACAATTTTCACCTAAAAATCAGTTCATTACTTAATGGAAAAATGCATCTTTTTTGCCTTTGAGTATAAAGTTGGATCTACATATGATAACATCTTAATAAAACATTGTATTCAATTTTGACTTATCATACTAACTGGCATGTTTTACAAGAGACATCATAAATTTATGTTGTGTAGCAGTTTGAACGGCCTCAATTCAATCCTTACATTTTTTACTTTACAAATGTGTTAGCAAACAAAAAGCAAACAAGAGAAACAATACAAAAACTTTTTTATAATAACAATCAATTTTCATTTTACTGTATGACACAAAACAATCAAGTGTGTGATTTTTATATAGTAAGTGTTGTAATTAATAGCAGGAGTTATTTACTTTTAACTGGAAATTCTTAAAGCCTTTTAAGAGAATATTTTTATCTAAACTCACAGAAAAGATTTCAGTTCATAAAATAAAGTTCAGTTGCAATGAAAGAAATGTTCAAAGTTGCTTTTTGAATAAAATGTTTGTTTGGCAAACTATATGTTCTTTAAGTAGAATTCTTGTTGTCTCGATAAAAATCGTAGCTGTTAAAATTGAAGTGTAGTTTGTTGGTGAGTAAGTGAATTCGAAGTTTGGGATTATGTTAGGAAATCTATCTTAGAAACTTCAAAGATTTGAACAGCATGAATTTGTTTGGCGAATTGTTTGATGCCACAAAACTCACTGTTCTGCTGCTTGTAGTTGAAGGAGTGAATAAGATGAGTTAAGAGATGTGCAATATTTGTATGTATGTGTGTGCATTTGTCATACTGTCTTCATAGCGTTTTCCCTTAAAGGGACAAATGTGATTTCTCTACAGCTACATCTTGCATGTGAGAGAGGGCAAAAACAAGGAAGAATTGAAGATGTTGCTAAATATTTATAATGTTGTACGCCACATGATAGGCATGAAACACATAGACAGATTTTTGGCAGTAAATTAATTTTAACAGTGTGGATGTAGTGGAAAACATAATATTAGCATTAATTGACCAATCAGGTGTCAGAGAAATATCAAGGCTCTGTGATCCACTGTGGTGTTTAGTTTGTACAAAAATTGACATCGAAAGAAAGTGGTAGCAGAACACCAAAGTTGCAGTCCAAATTTTTATAATATTAATTGATGAACAATCAAAAATATCAAAAAGTAGAATGAAGCAAAAAAATAAATGTTTGTGCCTTTCAAGAAAATATTGCTGCTTCTGTCCAAGCTTGTTACTCAATCTGTGATTTGTTGAAGTGCTTACAAATTTTATTGAACTTTTGCTTGTTAACAGTCAATCAATTTGGAGAAACGCGAACTGCAACAATATTGGAGAAACAGTTTAATTGGGATGAAAAGACGAGATGAAGCATACATGTCTACACTCAGTGCACTCAGGTAAGATTGTCTGATGAGGGCTGCTTGTCTTCATTGTTTATTGAATTGATATTCATCATAATTCAATAAAAAGAATCTTGAAAATAAAATATCTATCATCACAAATGCTTGAAAATAGGTGAAGCATAAAAAAGTGCTAGTGACCATTTTGGTGTTCAGCAAGTTACTTTTACATGAAAATAAGAAATAAATCAGTCATCATCATCATCATCATTCCCTTGACTTTTGTAATGATAGGGAGGATCCGAATGCAGAAGCAACACTGAATCTCCTCCACAATGGTCTATCAATTCTGGTATAGTCATACCTGTCCATTGTTTGATATTGTCCTACCATTTTTTGCATTGGCATCCTCTCCTATTCCCGCCTCCAATGATGCCTTGTATGATGATTTTGCACAGGCTGTTGTGCCTTGTAATGTGTCCAGACCACATTATTTTTCTCCATTTAAGAGTTACAAGAAGAGGTTCCTGGTGGCCCACAAAATTTTCAACCCTTTTCTACAGACTCATTGGTTTTATGTTCCCATTAGAGGATGTCAAGGAGTTTTCTCCTGCATTTGTTCTCAAACACTTGGATCCTTCTCTCTGTTTCTGCCAACAGTGTCCAAATTTTACATCCATATAGAAGAATGGAGACTATCAACGATTTGTACAGCCTGTACTTCATTTGAAAGCTGATTTTGCTCCTCCATATTCTTGCCAATTTGGTTATCACTACTATGGCTGCGGCAATCTGAGTTTCAGGTACCATCTTTAGACAAGATTGCTCCTAAGTATTTAAAACTGGACACTTCCTCCAGTGAATTCCCTTTCATGGTGATGTTGACACAAGTGTTACTATTTGTGCTATTGACCATTACTTTGGATTTCTCAGAGCTGACTTCCATTCTATATGCTCCTGCTCTTTCAAAAGGTTTGTTGGTCAAGTCCTGGAGCTCGCTGTTACTACCTGTTATGAGGTCAATGTCATCTACAAAACATAAATTACAGACAGGTCTACCACTGATAGTGATTGAAGGATCATGGTCATTCAGGGTTTCTTGCATGATTCTCTCTAGGAATAGGTTGAACAATGTGGGTGAAAGTATGCATCCCTGTCGCACACCAACAGTTATCCGGAAGAATCCTCCCATTTGTTTCCCCAGAAGAGCTACACTGGTGGCATCTTTATATAGGGCCTGGATGACTTGGATAATTCTGTTATCAACATTGTATTCCCTAAGGATTTGCCAAAGAAATATGAACCTTAAATCACAAATCAATGCAATAATAAAACTGTTTCAAAAGCTAATAACAATTTTGAATAACTTATCATTTATGAAATTTGTTTATTAATTTGTGGTTAATTATAAAATAATTAAAAATAACAATTTGTTAAAAAGTGTGAATAAATAAATGTTAAATAAATGTTAAGGTTTTGTTTATTTAGAAGTGAATCTAGAAACGACTGCCAGAAATAACTGTCATGGACTGTTGGAATTCATTTTTTATAATTCAGAAAAATTTATATTATCCTTGTATTTTTTGTCCAATCAGAGTAGTTTCTACTCTTTTAAATTTAGATTTATAGCTTGTTTGATCCACCTCCCAAGAGTATATATATATTGTTAGTGGAACAGAAGGGAGTGATAAGTCATAAGGGATGAGACCAGCAAGATTAGATGTTGGTGGGCAGAAGGGAATGATTTATCATACAGGAGGGACAAAGCTGGCTGATTGTAGTGAAAGTGAGTGATATGTCTAACAGAAAAGACTTTGATATCACATGTGAACACAGAAAAAAAAATATCATTAAACCTCCTAAAGACTCTCATGGGAAAAATATATAGTTTTTTTTTCATTTATTTATTAGGTGCAACTTTTGACAGTAATTTCTTTTTTTCCACAGTTTTTATATGACCTTCTCAAAGTTTTATTTTTCTTTCATGATTTGAAAAAAACTGTATTTTAAATCTTGTTTAGAGCTAATTATTTCTATAATTTTATATTATCTTGCTATGTTCATAATAAGGTGAATGAGAGCAAATTTTAATGCAAGCCTTTTTGTAAAATTTTTACTTTATTACATTGTTTTATATTTGTTTCATAAATCTTTGTAACTTTCAAATTTCGCATAGTAGTTTTTGTCATGTTTTTCTATTTCAGATATGTGGTTAAGGAATAACAGAAGTTGCAGAATATAAATAATTAACAAGCTTTATTTTCAAGGTCTATACACATTGGTTTTCTTATCAGAAGTTCTCTCACTTCCTCATGAAGATCCCTTTTTTCCTTTCTGTCCCTTAGACCATTGTGTTAAGGTATCACCATATCTTACTTCTTTTTTTTTTTAGTGGGGGCATTAGGTGGGGGGAGGCATTGATTGTATCTACAAGTCCAGTCGTTTGAGTTCAATCACCAGTCTTCCTGGTCTTGTTTTTTGAGAGTATTCTGGACTAAGTGTTCTTTGGTTCAGTGATGAAGATGGTATGTGTGTCTGTGTAGATACCTGTATGTTTGTTGTGTCACTGACACACTTTGATCTATCCATCAAATGGCACCTATTTCATCTTATAGTCCCATTAGGCCCTTTGACTATATAAGATCATGGTGCTGTTTTGTTTGCCACAGTACTAGTGATTTTGACATAAGTCAACAACACTTGTTTCCCTGGTAAGAGGCTGCTGATATCAGATGCTTGGTGACACTGGTTGTACTTAATTCAATCAGTGACCTTTCACTGTTTTTCTTTGATTTGACAGTAGCACCATCTGGTAGTGCTGGGTCCAGTTGCAATGGCTGAGTTGGTACTGTAGTGTGCAACCTGCACCCCATCAGCAACAGCTGGGCTAAATCCATTCTGAAATGGTGTTGATCTGTATGCCAGCAAGGCAAGCTATGTATCTGCTGCTTAGTCAGAAGGTTTTTGGTTGTCTGGACTGCCCATTCATCTTCATTGCTTTGTGGATACCTAGGACTGCTGGTTACATACTGAAATCCATATTCTGAGGCAAAAGCAGAAAATGTACTGCATGCAAATTGTGGACCATTGTCAGTTATCAAGGTCTCTGGCAATTCATTGTGCAAAAATGTTGATTTCAGATAAGCTGTCATATCTGAAGCTTTTGAGAGTGAGGTTCACTATTTCTATGAACTTCAAGTCATAGTCCACTACTAACAAATACTTTTTGCCTTTTATGGTGAAAATGTCCACTTCTAGTCTCTGCTAGAGTCTATCTGACAGTTCTCTTTGAACATCATGGCTAGTGTGCTCTTTTATACATGTTCTGCATTTCAGCACTAATTCATTTAGCTGCTGGCTTAATCCTGGCCACTGCACACTCTGATGTGCATGCTCCCTGCATTTTACTATACCCTGGTGACCTTCATGGAGTCTCTCAAGTATTGATAGAATGACTAATCTTGTACCCTTAAGCAAAGAGCCCATACTGTACAGTTAGGAATGCATATACTCTGTCCAGTACATAACACTCCCAAACATGTGTTGTATTCAGGCCATCCATCCAGGCACATCTACATAACTGTGGACCATATTTTGTCAGTTCTAAGTTGTTGATGTAAATTTTCCAGGTAGGGGACACTTGCTGGTAGGTTCTTTATTATTTGATCCACATAAATGTTAATGCTCTCCACAGACTCTGTGTCAGCATGTAATGTGTTTTCTTTTATTGGAGTTTGTGACAGTGCATCAGCTGTAACAAGGCTTTTTCCTGCGAGATGAAATATACTATATGAATATCACATCAGTCTCATCCAAAAGTTTTATATTCTTGGGGATAAGACATCCAAAGTTTGTGTCCTTAGGAGGCTCACCAGTGGCTTGTAGTCTGTCTCGAGCAGGAAATGTTAGCCAATAATAAAATCTCAAAACCTTTCACAGGCCCATGTCAGAACTAGTGACTCTTTTCTATCTGAGTGTACCCCTTTTTTCATTGAGACCAGATGCCAGTTACAGACACACGTTTTGAAACTGCTAAGAAAGAAGTTACTACAGTAAAACCAGACTTCTTTACAGGCTGCAAATACAACAATGGCAATTTGAATGTTGCCAAAAGGGGAATCCAGTCATTACGGTCGAATGTCTATGTTTTTGACTATTTTAATGCATTAATGTCTGTCATCTACAACACACATGAATAACTACATTTTATCCATGGTTGTTAGTAACCTTTGTTTGTTTTGGAATCTTTTTGTTCAGGCAATTAGAAGAAGATGATCTGACACTTGATACTGAGATCATTGGCTACAAGAAAAGCATTTTGAGTGAACAAGAGCAGAACGAGAAATTAACAAACATTTATAACAAAAACAAAAAAGATGCAGACATTGTGAAGGAAATGTTGAAGCAATGCAGAAATAAACACGAAACACTGAAGACTCGTTTCTCTACACATTCACGCCTATTACATGAAACTGAAAAAGACCTTAACAAAACGAATATGGTCAGTATTCATTCAGATTCATTGCTTCCAACAATATGTTGTTTTTCATATTCTTTCAATTAATAATTTTTATTTACTTGTTAATATTCCTGGGTGGGTGCTGCAAATCAAAATTTTTCATAATTGTTGGTAAAATGTAAAAATCTTTTGAATGAAACAAAACAGTGAATATTTGATAATTTATTTGTGAAAAAATTTGTTTTTTGAACTGTCAGACTTGAGATATTGATGAAAGTGAAAGAGAGAAAAAACAGAAAGCTTAACAAGAATACAATGTTTGAAAACTTCTGATTTGTAGCAGAAGCACCAGGCCAAATGTGTTAGCAATATTCAATGCATAGATAAATGGTAGACTTAAAAGTGTAAGATAGATTCTGGTGAGGAAAATTGTCTAGAACGATAAAGTGAACCAATTTTCCTAGCAGCAGACTGAGCAATTAATTCAATAGAATCTTTCCACTTCATGTCAGCCCAAGAAGGCACAATGGAAAATTTGATGGATGACATAGTTCACCATGATGACTAAGAGATAGTAGTTTTGTTTTGTAGGCATTGAAATTTACAAGCCATTTCTTGCCCCAGTTAAAAAGTGAGTGAGAATCATTTTCAAGATCAGCTACCAGTTTTACTTATTATTAAGACAGGAGTAAATGCTTGTGTAATCAGTATAAATACTGAATAACATATTGGTAAAACTTGAAATAATTTAAGTGTAACCTTTTCAATTAGTTTGTTTACCAATTTCTGCTTCAATATTCAATGTATGATAACTTTGATGTTATGTTGTCTTGGCTATCAACAAAACGAAATTTCATTGAGAATCAAATTTTCTTTTGATAGTTTGTGAAACCAGAATGATAGCCAGTTACAGATCTCTTTGATAAGTCTCATCAATTGATATTTTTTCTTTTATTCAATTTTAATTGAATGAAACCCAAATTGAAAATGATTTTGAAATTCAATATCTGTCTATATTTCTGAGATGAGGTATTATGTACACTATTTACATTATTCAGACTATTGTCCTCAGCTTTGTCACAATATTTATTACAACATTTCGGCCGTTGTATGCTCTGGCCTTCTTCAGGTGGTTGGAATGTTGAACTGAACCCTTTATTTCATTCACTAGACTGTTCTAGTTCCACGTGTCATGTCTAATGGATGGCAGTTATCAGTTATCTCCTGCTTAATTCCCTCTCCAAGTTCTCCACTGCCTTAACCAGGTATTGAACTCACATACTTTGGGTCCTGTCACTGGATCTAACTAATGCTTTTATCCACTCTGCCATGTGTCCTCAAGGACACATGGCACAGTGGATAAAGGTGTTAGTGACAGGACCCAAAGAGTGAGTTCAATACCTGGTTAAAGTGGTGGAGAACTTGGAGAGGGAATTAAGCAGGAGATAACTGATAACTGCCATCCATTAGACATGGCACGTGGAACTAGAACAGTCTACGCCATTGCACAAAATAAAGAGTTCAGTTCAACATTCCAACCACCTGAAGACGGCCGGAGCATACAACGGCTGAAACCTTGTAATAAATATGGCAACAAAGATGAGGATATTAGTTTGAATAATGTAAATAGTGTGGTTTTGAAATTCTTCATCTATTTAACTATGTGATGTGATATTTCAGTACTTGGTGATTTTTAACAAATGTATCATGAGAATTTCCTGTGAGAATTTGTTTTTGCTTTCAGGAAAAAAATTATTTGTCTGATTCTCTGGAAGAAATGAAGAAAATGACTCATAAAGAAAAAGTGAAAATGAAACAATTGGAGAATGCAATCATGGAAAAAATCCATTCCCAATTGATGTTTGAAAAATCTTCACAATACACAAACAAACTGACAGACAAAACCAAAGAAATCAGTCAACAATTGGTGAGTTGCATTTCCTCCGTTTTTTTTTTTTTTTTAGTGTTTCATTGTTGCAACGTTAATTTTTTTTCCTTTCAATGATTCAATAGATTACTTCTGTGTAAATGGAGTGGTTTTCAGATCAAAGAATTTAGGATCATCTAAATTTTCTCTCAAAAGGTATGAAGAATTAACCAGAATAAATTCATGTCTCATGAAAAAAGAAATTTATATGACTGTCAATGCAATCATTTCATTGATCCTACTTGGATTAGGATTTTGTATTAACAGATCCAGTATCTAAAACATTTTATCCATTCACAGGCTTCATAGAGGAGATCAGAATAAGAGGAAGGACATTTTATGGTTTTTCTTCTCTCAGGTGTGTTTGATTAAAACTTTGCAAAGCTAAAGTATGATATGTTTAATTTTAATATTTGTGGGTTTTTTTACTTATTTTTCTGTAAATTTAAAAGAAAGACAATAAAAAATCAGGGAAATAAAAGTTTTAAAAATTAAACTTTAAAATAAATTTTACTAAATTGTTTGTGCATTAGTAGGAATAAGGTATTCTATTTTAAGAACAATATTGGACATATATATATATATATATATATATATATATATATATAAAATAGCTGTCAACTCAATAAATGAGTATGACTGTCACTGAAAAATTTGATAAATGCTTTTGGTTCACATGAAAATGACACTGGCTCTTGAAGTCTGCAAGTGACTTGTTATGCTTATTGTAGATGTGGGAAACTAAGTTGTTTTGTACAGGGCCTGGACTGTTTTGTAAAGTTTTTTCAGCTTGCTTGAAGGTTTTCATGTGATGGGTAAGATCAGAGTGGTTTCTGCAGGTTTTTGAACACATCTCAAATGTTAAGTTATCTCTGCTCTAGCATGGTTTGTAAATGGTCTGCCAATATAATTGTTCTTGGAGCGACATACTGTGCCACATACCAATATAACTGTTCTTGGAGTGACATACTCTGCCACATACATCACTTGTAAATTGATTAATTGCTGAATCAATGATTCCTCCAAAACTAACTACATAATTGACATTTGCCCAATTCATTGCATGTTCTTGGAAGATTTTCATGGCTTCATGAATTATATTGATCACAAGCAGCAGTTTCTCATTCAGCATCATCTATATGACAGGTTACAAGAGACTTTTTTAACAATCCTTGAACTGCTTCTTTGGTTTATACTGTGGTTGAGTGCTCTAGAGTGACTTGGCATACTGCATTTTTTTGGGTATTCTGTTCTAATCAAGACAAATTACATTGCTTGTCAAGTGAAGCCTGTAGCAATGAATGTGCACTTTGATTCTGATTGTATTAACTTTTTTAAGGATCACAATGTCTGTTGAATGAGATATCCAGTTGATACCAAGAATCAATCTTAAACATCATTGGTGGAATTTTTCCAGAGTGTCTCAGTGTCTGTGGCACACAACTCATGTCTCATAGGAGTATAGCAGTCATGTCAGCACACAGGTAATGTAGACTGCCATCTTTGTGCACTTCTTAAGTCCTTCTTAGACTAGATTTGATCATATACAGCTGCAAAAGCATCAATTGCCTCTGCACCCAAGCATAGACTTCATTGTCAAGTTTGCAGTGTTTATTTATAGTGCTCCTAAGGTTTGGGAATTTGTCTGTCACCTTCAGTTTGTGGTCATCCACAAATATTGATGGTTCAATGTAAGAGGAACTTGGAGCTGACCACTGCCTTGCCCAAACTGATAATGAGGCCAAAAGCTTTGTAGAAATGTAAAAAGTATCCATCAAAGCCTAAGTTTCCTCTTCTGCTCGGGTGACCAAAGTTACAGTCATCAGCTTATAGAAGATCTCAGACAAGACCTTGGAATATCTTAGATTTAGCAGAAGTGTCAGATGTTGCATAGTTTACCACTTGTACAATATTAAATATATTGGGTTGGAACTTTTAATAAAAATATATATAAAGTTGTGTGGGAACTTTGTTTCCAACCCAATCTATACTCTGGTCACGGTCCTTAAAGGCATGGAGAACAACAAGAGAAAAGAACATGGAGAACAATGTAGAAGGCTACATGGTTACCTTGCTTGACATTATTTCTTATCTTGATGAGGTCTGAAATTAAATCACCAATGTTAACAGAAATCATCATGAAATGACTGCATGATATCTATGAAATTGCAAGTATAGCCTAAGCATCTCAAGATCTTCCACAAATGTTCTCTGTTTACAGTGTCTTGTTAAAATCTATGGAAACCTAAAAATGGCTTTGTTGTACATACAGCTTTCTTTGGATTTGTCACACTATGAAAATTATCTCCATCATTCCCCTATTAGGCTGGAAAACATATTGTAACTTTGGCAATATAGTATCCACAATGTGAGCATTCAATCAAGACGGTAAAATAAACATTAGAATATTACCTGCTGGCAAAAGTAAAGCTATACCATAATAATGCTCAATTAGCTCTGTTATACATTTGCCTTTTATTCAACATCACCTCTGCTGGGTGGGTCACATGTCCAATATGTGTTCCACGCGACTCTCACATATCATTCTGTTTGGAGAACTTGACAATAGCAAGAGGCTATGCAGAGGTCCAAAACGCTGCTTCAAGGATCAGTTGAAAACATCCCTAACACAGGTCAACATCGACCCTGACACCGGGGAAACCATTGTTGCAAATTGGCCTTCCTAGCTTATGACCATGATGATTGGATGTGTGTGGGTGCCACCACTGATGACAACATTTGCCTTTGTTCAATGGTATCATGATCACATCTTTCCAGTCCTTTCAAATTCTCCTGCATTTCAGGATGATTCTATGTATGTTATCAACCAAATGATTGCCACCATACTGAAAGATTTCAGCAAAGATGCTCTCCTTTCTGGTAGCCTTCCCCATGTTCAACTTGCTAATAGATGCTTTTACTTCTGCCATGTTAGGTGTATCACTCATAGATTCCATGATGGCTCTTTGATGAAAGTGTTTAAGAGCAGATTGGTCCACATAACTATCTCTGTTGTGTATATTTGAAAAGTGTTCTTTCTATCTCTTATTGATTTCCACTATGCTAGTAATGAGCTTTGTGCCATCTTTTGATCTTTATCAAATCATTACTGAGGCTGTTCTTTAGCCAAATGCCTGCTTCATAATGTTCTACAACTCTTTACTATTCTCTCTGTGACAGCCTGCATTTCTGCAGCTAAGTCAGAGAACCAAGTGTCTTCACTTTCATCACTTTGTTTAATCAATATATTAAACATTTATTAGAATTTAAAGATTTATTTGCTGAATGATGACAACATTTATGTGTGCAGTTAGGCTAAAAGCTGATTTGTTCTGCACAGTGTAAATGAAAGGCTGCTACTTGTATGAGATGTGAATTTGAACGTCTCATATTAATAATCTTGTGGGTTTGAAGCATTAAAATGGATTGTAAATCTAATTTGACAGAGAGAAAATTTAATACCTTAAGAGCTTCACTTATGCACAATTGCCCTTGGGAAAGGTATGAATCATCCTCTTCCCACCATCTGCCAAAATATAACCATGATTAAAAAAACAACTAAATCAGTTTATTGGTCTCTCTTATGGACAAGATATATGCACAGTGACTAAAACATGCAACCACTGACAAATATTATATGGAAGAAAATATAACATTAAAGCTTAAGCCCACCAACCATGCCTTCTGCTTACAGTGAGATGGCTGGTAAGACTTAATGTACACTGATTCTAACAATTTCAAATGATAATCAGAATTAGCCTTACTCAGCATTGAGAACATGCCCAGGCTTTAAAACCAGGTACACTACTGGCTTTTAAGTAAATGTTCATCAATAACAGATCCTGATACATTAAAGACCTATGTAAATTGTCCACATTTCCCTTGTGAATATTGGCTGGTAAATGTTGGTCAGTTTGTGCTTCTAACGTTTGACTCATTCTGCCCTGACATCTAAATTCGTAAATTACAGAATTATTATGATGCAGAGGCAGAAGATCCTTCCAGATTGGTCTGAACATAAGTTGAACAGCAAAAACAATCTGCAGATTGACAGAAAAATAACAGATTCTTACAGCATCTCAATTTGCTTAGCAAGTCTCATACTCACCTCACCAATCCATGGTACATGCAAATAGGATATTTTTGGAGACCAATCATCGTAGGTTTATAAAATTAGATACATTGTGTGTCTACCACATAGTGTCTATTCTACTGCCTCTAAATATGGTCGTCTTCAGTTGTTTAGCTACTTCCTTATTTGGGAATTAATTCATGGGGAGGTAAAACCCAACTACCAATTCCACATTTTTTTTCTTTCTTTCTGTTTATATTTCTTATCTATTTTCATAACTAAATTCTGGCTGATTTAAGAAAAGGAAAAAATTGCCTGTTAATTTTTTCAGATTGTCCAAAAGTACCATGCAACTACTACTTGCTTTCAAAATACTGTAGAGAACTTTTATCTTGCTCTATATATATATATATATATATATATATATATAATAGAAAAGAAAACAACAACAACTTACCTCGTCAAACCAAGCAACAGCACGTCGCGTGTATCCTACAACGGAAAATGTGGCTAAAAAGAAAATTACTTACGAAAAAAGGGCACTTATTCCGCATGACATGCTAAAGATGGAATATTTAAATTAAAAACAATTCTGTCGCAGAAATCTCTATAAAAGTATTTTGATATGCAAAAATTAGGCGTTCTCTCCCAGTTGTCGACGAATGAAAAAAATGCTCAGCTGATAAAAGCAGTTGGTGTTCTTGAATCAGGGAGGAAAAATTTGGGTATTTTCGCTACCACATTTGTTGGAGAGTGAGTTATTTGTCTGACTGGTTGCATGCATTGTGATTTGTGAGATAGTACCTGCGAATCGAGTTTTCAGCATTTCTTTCTGCTCTCGATGTTCGAGTCTGAACTTAGTGATTTATTCTCTGAGTTGTGGAAGTAATCTGCGACAAATATTTCCTTTGCAATCCCAGATTGGTTATATATATATATATATATATATGCGTGTGTACATGTTTGTGTTTGTTGAAAAAAAAGGAGTTGTAGAAAACCCAAAATATTACTTATCATCTTTGTTTTCAATTATTGTTGTTACATAAAATTTTAAACCTTTGGCAGAACATTTCAACAGACTAGTGTATTTTTCAATTCATTCAATGCCTTTTTGTGGCGGACATGAGACAGAACCTGGGACCAGCACAACTGGTCGCGACTTGCCTTGTCCAAAAAAGAGCCCGTATTTGCTTAGCATGTAAAGCTACAGCAGTTGAAATGAGGGAGAGAAAAAAAAGCACTTACCGCTCTGCCGTAATCCATCCTCGGCCAGATAACTTAAAAAAATGAGGGGGGACTGGCATCGCATTTTTATGCAATAACGATGCAATGCATTATGGGACGTGGACGCAATGAATTATGGGATCACGTGAGGACGCAAGGGATTATGGGTATATTAACACTTATAAAAAGAACTACTTTTTTCCAAGTCGGGGAGTTCTTCGAGAGACGTTCACGGTTGACGGCAAGAACGGGCAGTTAGTGTGATTTGGAGACAACTCAAGAAGGAACGACTCAAGTTTGAAATACCAGCTGGGAGAGCTTGAATTTATTCGCTGGTTACTATTTTCTTCATTTGCCACACTTTTGAAAGCCAATATTGTCAAACAAAAGTTGAAGGATTGTCAAAATTTGTATTGCAGAGGTAGAAATGGGTAACCTGGAACACAGAACTTTGAGTAAGGGTAAATAAATGTGTAATTTATTTATATATGTACAAAAACTGATAAATTCTATCTAAAGCAACAGGGAGAGCGAATGGTGAAATTAGATGGGACATTTGTGGTTGCTACTGTCTTTGTCATCAAATGGTGCTCTGTGCCATGTCTCTCTTTTTCTCAGCGTGTTGGTGTTGACATTAAATGCTGGTCTGTGTCAGGTCTGTTTAAATTTGGGTATATATAGTTTTTAATTGGCTCAAAATTTAGATTTTGGTTTTGGCGGTGACTGGTCATAATATATATACATTATTAATTTTGTTTTGGTTAAAGCAAATGTATGAATGGAGCCAATGTGCAGAAAATTTCTATTAATTATTCTTTTTTCTTTTTCCTTTTCTTCCTCTTTTCCTCTTATTTTCTCTCTCCTCTCTCTTTTCTTTTTCCTCTTCTTTTATCTTCTCTTCTTTCCTCTTTCCTAACCTATTATCTTTTCTCATTTATCCACTCTTTCTTTTATTTTCCTTTTCCTCCTCCTCCTCTACCCCTATAGTCCCATATTAACTCAGCCTGGTATAATCTGGTACAGGGCCAAAAGAGTAGAGCACTTAGTACAAACTAATAGTCTGCATATTTGTTTTAAAAGAACTGGAATTAAAGTTGAATATGTTTATGATTGAATTAAATTTGAAAATTCTTTTGAAAAGCCTCACACAAGCAGATTTTCTCACTGACTGATGACATTAATTTCATCCACAATTCATGTTTTGTAGTTTCTGTAAATTTTTGGCTTCTTTTCTAGGATTTTGAGAGGATTATGTTGGAAAATGTCATCTCTAAAATATGTATGGAATTCACCTCAACAAAGGCTAGAAAAACATGTGTGGAGAATGTCCTAAAGCAATACGATGAAGAGATTGTAGAGAGGAATGAAGTTATTGATCGCAGTGAACAAGGTATTTTAAAACGAGCTTCACTGCTTCAGAAGAAGCAAACGACAATTGATATTTGCAATAAAAAACTTGAAGTGCTCATCAACAAAGCTGGGGTAAGTAAAACCACTTTTCACATTGTTGCTAAGCAACTACTTTAAACTCTTCAGTGTTTGCATTTCATTACACCTTGTCACATTTCCTCATCATTGTCATTTTTTTTTTATGGATTAGACTGAATGTTGCATATCTACAGTTTTATGAGATTTGAAAAACAAAAAAACATCATCTAATGGTTCCTTAACTTGGCCAAAAACAGTGTTATGTTTGCACACACACACACACTTCTCAGAGAGAAAAGAGGACAAAAATAGTGACAACTTGTTACAAAGAATGTGCAATTTCGTTGTGCATGGAATACTTCCACAAGTATCACACTGTTGAAGCCATATCTTGATGGAATGTGTTCTTGTCTACCTAACTCTTCTTTCAGACATGTTTGAAGCTGCATTGCATTTAATGTGGTGATAGTGCATGGCATAGAGATTGATCCAGATGTGTGCTGATTGTCATTATGATCGGTAGTACATGGAGCACCAGAATGCAGCTATTAATAGACTCTTTCAATCACCAATGTCTGCAAACAAGTCAGTTGATCACATTTTGAAACATGCAAAGTTCATGGTCAACATAACCTGTCTACTTCCTGTCCAAATTGAGGCAAACACTAAATTAATAATATCATTGAATGAAAGAGTGATGGTTATTAATTGCCAAGGAGTTCATATTAACATCGAAAATAATAATAATCATGCATTCAGTTAGATTTAGTTATTCAGTTATGTGTTAATTAAATCTATGTTTCTGTGTCTGTAATCTTTTAAATTTATTCATAAATAAAAATACATGTTGAACGTTACATAATAAAACCTGACACTTCTAAAATATGTTTTAAAGAATTTTAATAAGGATCGAGATTATGGGTTAATACCACTTTTATTTTGAAAACATTGACTTGCATAATAAAATCTGACATATTTGTGTTTGTGCGTGTGTGTGTGTGTGTGTGTGTGTGTGTGTGTATATATATATATATATATATATATGTTTCATTATATGTGACAGATGAAGGAAAATCTTATAAGTTTTTCTAAGGGAGTGCAGAAATTATCTGTAATTATTATTATTGTCTGAAGCCATTTTCAAGAGGTTCATTGTTAAAGTCTTTAATGTTTGTGTTCTAAGATGTATTGGGTAAATGTATTAGTAATCTTAGGCTGTATCTGGGGGATGCAGACATGAATGTATGTTGGTGTGTCTTAGAAGATGACCAACATATTGCCACTACTGTTAAATAAAGTGAAGTTGATACTTCACTTGAATTGTTTTAGATAAAGTCTCCTAGAATTTTTAGCCAGTGCTGATACTTACATTTATCTAGAATGATGGTGTTATCAACCAGAATTTTTCTAATCAGGGCAGACAGTAAACTTGCATCCAGATTCTTGCAGTATATCACCTTTCTTGGCAGATCTTCTATTATCACAATGTGTGACATTTAATAACAAAAGGGATGGAAACGGGAGCAAAAAGAAACTAAATTAAATCAGCTAGACTATAAACACAAAACATATATTTAAAAAAAATGAAATTTAAATTTTCCAGCATCCACTTTCCTTCATGTGTAATGCATCAATGTAAATATCACTTCAGTCTAATGAAGTTCAAAGAACGAAATGTGTCACATGAAAATTTTTTCCACTTTGTCATAGTTTTTTTTTAATTTCAATAGATTCTAATTCATGAGGATAAATAATCAGTTGGTTTATGTCATATGGGCCATGTATATGAATAGATCCATATGGCACACTCTGTATATCATATTGGATTATATCCAGAACTTCTAGTCTTTCCAAAAAATGAATTTTACTCTTATCATTCTGAAAGTAGAGCAACCATTTCTCTTATTTACAGTTGACTGTTTACTTTGATAGAAAAGTTAAATTTTGAAAAGAACTGTTATCAGTGAAGGAATTGTGCCATAGGAAAACATTGACATGTGATGGGGGCTGTTTTGTGCACACACACACACACACACAAATCACATTCAAAGATTATGGCATAAGGCCAATCAAAAGATGAGCCATTCTTTAACCAAAGTAGGATAGAGAAGTGGAGCAGTAAGTGACATGTGCCTCTGCAGTCGAACAGAACATAGGAGCTTACCAAAAGAAATGACCACTCAATCTATTCATCTATTCATGGATATGTCCCGTGCAACATAAACCAACAGACTATTTATCCCTATGAATTGGAATCTATTGAAATGAAGGAAGAGGGAAATGGAAAGAGGAAAAAAGCCAGTTTCTTTTATTTTGATAGAAACTGCAAATGGGCTGCCATATTGTGTGCAAGCAAAACTTGATGCACGCACACACACACACACACACACATGGCCACTATTGAAGCCATTTTTGGCAAATGGAAGGCACATTTTAATGCTCTATCGATTTATATAAAAGGAAAGCTAACAAAATGGGTAAATTTTAACAAAGGGATGTGTTGGAAGTAAAACACAGTGTCTAGTTTAGTATGGAACAGACTATTAAAGAGACAAAAAACAAAATACTGTTTTCTTGTGAGCATAAAAGAGAAGGAAATATTTTATTTAAATATTAACTGTGATAACTAAGTATTCATTTAATGATTATAACTGGTATTAGATGTATTTTTGTTGTTCTTTATAAATACATGTCCCATCCTTTCATTAGATTGAATCAATGTCCTGATTAACAAATTTATGTTTCTACAGGAGTCATTGAGTGATTGCAGTTGACAGAACATCTTTTAGAGAAACATTATTTATGGGAAAAGTTTTAAATTACAGAACCTGTTATTCTGTTTATTTTCCAGCAAAGAATTGTGTAGTGTTACTGACTCACAGGAAGTATTATGCACTAATTTTATTTATTAAATTTTCCAATCAATTCTTGTTGCAAAACAAATTCAACACACTGTCATAGTGACAACTTTCCCAGTTGTAAATTCGTTAGTCATTTGCCGATAATCCTCATTTTGTAGGCCATTAACCAATTTCATTTGGATCAAATCCTCTCCTATTGACTGGTTTTCTGTTCCCAGTTTCTCAAATTAACAATATTTAGTGGCCTGTTTTAAACAAGCCACAATAACTGATTCATTCATTTTTTGAGAAATATTTATGAACTTAGCTCTCTCTAAATTCACAAGTTTTTTTTTGTGTGTTATGTTTTTCACTATTAGTTGACTTATATTGTCGAACATCATATACTCCAGGTGTGTGATTATTGATAATTTTATAATGGCTTCACAACCAGCAGTGGCCAACAAAAGATTAGTTATTTGGTTTTCTCCTCCAACTGATTTTACATCCTGTAGCTTTTTCGTTCTAGCCTTAGCTGCTAGTATCCTAAGTCATGCTTGTGTATATTCATAATTATCGAGTAATAATTATTGGTTTGATTCTTTAGATATTGGTGACACCATTGTAGTGTTACTGACTCAAAAGAAGTAGTAGGAACTCAACTAAGTTATTACTGGAATACATACTTCCTTCTGTGAAAAGTGATATTCTAAGCAAAAGAAACTGAATTTAGATGATTTATTGTAAATAAATTTAAATAAATCTTTTTCTGCTTTGTCATCTTTTTTATCAGGGTATTGAACTTGGACCTTTGGAAGCGACCATAAAGTCTCTACAGAAGTCAATTAAAGAGAGAGAGCATGATATTGGCCAATTGCAACAGACATGGCTCCAAAAACAAGGAATTTTGGTGCAGTTGATCAAAGAAAGAGACGTGCAGTCTGAAATTATGGAAACAACAAAAAAAGAACACACTGTCCATTCACAGAAAAAAATAAGAACTGAAAGTGAGTTTGGTTTTATCCAATGTTAAAATAATTTGTCAAGTGGATTTTACCATAAATGCTTCAGTTTCAAATAATGTTCTTATAATGAACAATTTGACTTGTGTCAATAAGAATTATACCCAAGAAAATACTTTCTGGTTATATTCAAGCATGTAATATTGTATTGGGAGGTGCACAAAATCCGGATTTGATGCAAAACAGCTGCCATAAAATTGAATTTAGACTGCATTATGCACTTTTAATTCTAAACCTTCATCTCTGTTTATAGCAATATCTTAAAACATTCATGACTATTTTCCTAAAGTTGTTTTTATGGTGATTCACATGTCACCTTTTTGCAAATTCTTCATCCAACAGTATCTTCAACTGAAAATGCTCTTAAAGTTTAGTTAAAATCTTTGAGAAAACATCAAAATTTATTTTAAAAGCCATGGATTTTTCCATCATCTTCTGGTTGAATTCAAAGTAAAAAAAATTGAAAGCCACAAGTTTTATTGTTTCAAATACTGTTCCCTGATTTTCTGTGCAAAGCAAATTTCCCAACTGCTTAACAAAATGGAAAAAATTTGGATGAGTGTAAATATTTCTCTTGTTTTGGAAGAATAAAAGTTAAAATGCATTTTTTTCTTTTTCCCTTTGCAGACAAAATTCACAAACAAGAATGTGAAAAAGCAGATTTAGAAAGGAGTGTTTCCAATTGTAGGAATGACATCATTAAACTAAACACATTGAATCATCAAGAAAACCAACTGGCTGAAAATTCAGAACAAAGCAATATTCTTGTGGAAAATAATTTCCTTTTGTCTCTTCAGGTAAATAAAATTTTTCTGTTTCATTTTTATACAAACTTATGAAATGTGATTTCCTTTGTATTTTCTCAGTCCAATAGTAGTCGTTAATCTCGGGTATTCTCATTTGCCTTACTACTTGCACCTTTATATAATCTTGTTATAAAATAAAATAAGACATATCTTGGCTGATTTACAGGCAAATACTCAAGAGCGAGAACCGGATGTAAACAGGACAAAGCCCCGTCACAAAATGACCATTATCTTTCTTCACAAATGTTCCCGACACACATGTTCCGGTCGAAAAATAAAATAAAATGCTCTATTTTTCGTCCAATAAAAATGCTTCCCTCCTAATTATACTCGCTTCGTTTTTCGAGCGTGTTAAGCCATAAAAAAACACTATAAAAGGGGTCACACGGAAGTTCAACGGTCAGTCAACAGGTGGCCACAAAGGAGACCTGTCACGGTCAGGCTGAGCCTTCAGCAGCTGTCAGCAGGAGAGCACCAACCACCGTCAACATGTGTGAACTACTATGAGAGATCGACCTAGATCCGAAAGCCAGCTTATGAACTTTACCACAAGGTAGCTGTCCCAAACCCTCACGTTCCTGTTGAAATAAACCACGTAAATCTATTTCTACTGTTGTCGTATTTCTTTCTTGCAACCATACGCTTGTCTATAACACTGGTGTCAGAAGCGTACAGCAAGAGAAATATGGCCGACTACACAAGCTTCACCCAAGCCAAACTATTTACTCTCATCAAGGAACAGAAAACATTACTATTCAACTTGAAAACAGGACCAACACAGCCTTCCGAAGCCACAATACAGGAAATTCAAGCCGACATAAACGACATGCTGACTGCCCTAAAATCAACTACTTCAACACCTCCCACCGCTCAAACAAACGGCGATTACAGCTTAATGATGTGCCAACAAACTATACGCGACATATTGAAGCTAGAGAGAACTTTCCACCCTGGACACGACGTGAACCTTTCATCACGGCCCTAAACAAAGCATACACAATCCCCGTCACGCCAGAACTCAGCACCTATCCCAGCCTGGAAAGCGAATTCGTCAAGTCTGCTAAAGATTTACTGGACCAAAGTATCTTTCAGCAGATGGTTGACTCAAAAAAGGACATATCCACCTTCGAACAACTGAAGGAATACTTATTAGGAGCCCACGGAAGCCAGATGACTAACTTCCAACACCTCAGTCAAGCCTGGGACCTGGAACGGTGAGACGGCGAAAAATTAACAGACTTCGCGGGTCGACTCGAAAACACCCTTAGAGAGGCAGCCGTCCACATAAAAAACAAATACAAAAAAGACAAAAATACAGACTTAACAGTCTTAACCATCATCGGCGCTATGCTAATGAGCAAAAAGGTGAAAATTTGGAACTCAAATCTCTACTCACATCTCGTCAAGACAATGGATAACCACTATTCAGCCATTGGCATAGCCTCTGAAGCTCAAATATACCTTGATTGTGGTGTAAAATCCAACAACACAACTTTGCACAACACTGTGTATTTCACACAGAAACCACAGCGGTCAAACCAAACAAACGCGCCACTCCGACCCAGCAGGCAACCAAACCCACAGCAGACGGGCCTCACCAACCCTCCCGAACATAGCCACCATCCAACATGCAGAAACCATCAGCACACACCATGAATCAGCGTGTGCAAGAACTACCTCAGAAGTCGCCCCTGCCACCATGGACGCAATTGTGTATATCGCCACCCACCTCGCACTCGGGCACAGGCCCATATCGCCACAACGAATGACAATATACAAGCCATAAATGATGTGAACAGGATTTTTGCTTCAGGCAGGATGAGATGTGATGCCTACGTCAGCCATCACACCTTCAACTTTCAAGGACTCGCTCACCATTCACCACTCGTCCAGTCCACCTTCAACTTCAGGGACATCACCTTCTCTGGCGTCGTAATGCTAGACTGTGGATGCTCCACCTGCATCGTACCAATATCTCAGTTACCCAGAGAAGCCAAGAAACTCATGACCCGCTCTGACGTCGTAGTAAAAGGAATCAATGGCAGCACCACCGCCCTCGGCGAACTGACTTGCGACATCACCATCGGCAGTCGAGACTCACCCACATTCAAAAAGGTTAACGTGCTGGTAACTACCCAAACCACACCAATCCTAATCGGCCAAAATATCCTACGTCACAACACGCTCGATTCCTATCTAATCGACAACCAAAATGTGACTATAGAATTCAGACACACACTTTCCTCAGGATATACAACACACACAGCCGCAATCATATCACCGTCATTGTCAACCAACGATCCAGCATATGGCGCCCAAGCTGACATCATCCAAAACCAGCCTACTATGGAACTACAGCCCAACATCCAGACACTGGATCAAAAGCTAACCTGGCTAAAATATAACACGGGACTATCACTACCAAACCACCCGAACCGAGACGAACTAGAGGCCACTGCAAACTTACTCATTCGCTACGCTGACATTATTGGCACCGAAAGCAGCAGCAAAGGCACATTCATCCAACCCATCCGCATACCAACCAACGGCCAGTCTCGCAGCCAGAAACAACACCCGATAGCTCAGGCTTTGGAAGCAGACGTAGATACCGAAATTAAGCGTATGGCTGATGAAGGTATCATTGAAAACTGCAGCGACCCCAAAGGCTTCAATAGCCCTGTATTTGCCGTACGCAAGAAAAACGGATCGATTCGTGTCGTTGCTAACTTTAAAAGAACTCACAACAAGGTCTTACTCGATCTTGACCCTTACCCAATGACAAGGATCGACCACTTGTTCAATAAAATCGGCAAAGGCAATAGATATTTTACTACCCTTGATCTACGCAGTGGCTACTGGCAGATTGAGATCGACAAGCGAGACCGATACAAAACAGCATTTACATGGAAGGACCAATGCTATCAATACACGCGCCTGGCCTTCGGCCTTACATCTGCTGGACAAATCTTCTCCCGTTGCATAGCAGAAGCCCTAGTCACGGTCACATCCCGTGACAACATTTCTTCCTATATCGACGACAACCTGGTCCACGCTAGGACATTTAGGGAGTACATACTCTCCCTCAAACAATTTTTTACTGCCCTCCGAAAATTCGGACTCAAGCTGAATCCTGATAAATGTTCCTTCCTCGCATCAGAGGCAAAATTCCTCAGACACATAGTAAACAGCGAAGGATTCAAGGCTGATCCAGAATAAGTTCGTGCCATCAGGGAAATGAAACCTCCAACATCAAAAAAGGAATTACAAAGCCTTATCGGCCGTTTAGTGTGGATCAGACAATTCCTAGAGACACGTCTTCACGAACAAATCAGGTCAGATATGTTTTCAAACCTTATGGGTCCCATGCACGAACTCAACAAGGTTAATAAACCATTTGTCTGGACGCAAAATGCCGACAGAGCCTTCAAAAAAATCAAGGACCGTCTCTCTTCGCCACTCGTCATCTCGTTTCCAGATTTCTCCAAACTTTTCACACTCACCACTGACGCCAGTGACATCGCATGTGGAGCAATCTTAATACAAGAAGCTGACAACGGGAAGAAAGATATCATAGCGGTCGCTTCCCATACATTCAACTCCATGGAACAGAACTGGTCCACGACGGAAAGAGAGGCATATGCAATAAAGTGGGCAATATTGAAATTTGATTATTTCCTTCGCAACTGCCCCTTCATCATCTTCACCGACCACAGATCGCTGACATATTTGGACCAACGAGAGTTCAATAATGCTAAAATACGACGATGGCAAGAAGAAATTCATGTTATAAATTCGTCTTGGAATATGTTGAAGGCGAATCAAATGTATGGGCTGACATGCTCAGCAGAGGCTGCGGACATAAGAAAGCGAAAGCCCCGAATGATCCTACACCGACAGGCAGGACATTCGAGGTAAGTGGTTCAGACATCCAGGTATACATCCCATCTTGGTGCCTCAGAGAGTTTAACAGTTTACAGCTCATTCCTAAAACTCACACACCACAAAACGCCCGCACCCACAAGCGTGTCACCAATGCATTCTTTGCCTATCACTCCACCACCACCATCCCCACTGAGAGAATCTGCAACCACCTCGGCATCGCAGATGAACAACTGAAGGACGATGCCCTGGCAAAGATCATCAGCACCCTCCAGTCACCCACCCCAAGCGAACCTCATATCGATCCTGACGACCACCGAGCTACGCTTTTCAAAAAACATTTCCACCAATTTTTTCTAGAACCAGGCACCTCCGTTTTGATGATAAGAGACAGTAAACACTCTCCGAGATTGGTTGTACCATACAAACTACGACCTAGATACCTCTCAGGTGTTACCCATATGTAAGAACTCCTTTCCAGCTACTGGTGAGAATTCAAAAACCGCCTATGTAGATTCTTGTGACACGGTAGACATACCCACTGGCCCATTGGCCACTGCAAACGAGGATAGAGACCATTCGATCTCGTCTTTATAGACTTTGTCACAATGACCAACTCAAAGAGAAAATGCTACATCCTAACCATCTTGGATAGCTTCAGCCGACATTTTACAGCCATACCATGCGCGAGAGACCATCCTATTGACGCCGCCCGAGGATTGTACCATTTCTTCCTTCGACACAGAGAGATTCCATGCATAGTATCCTCCAATCGAGGCACACACTTCACTGGAGAAGTCTATCGACAATTCTGTAACCAGATGTCAATCATGCAAGAACTTCACTGTCCTTGGCGCCCGCAAAGCTCAGGAAATATTGAGAGACAACATCGCACGATGAAGAACACACTTTATATGTTATGCGAAGACAAGAACTGTGAATGGACAGACGTTCTAGAACCTGTCGTTTCGTCCATGAATGCCACCACCAACAGTGCCACCGGTGTCTCCCCGCACTATGCCATTACCGGCTGTCACCCCAACATCGGCCTACCTACACTACACAGAAAAGAAATCACAAGCGACGATCCTGGAGCATATGGAATGCAAATT